CGCTGCTAGCTATTGTATTCTGACAGTCGGCAACTGCACCTGATTGGCAGAATGGCCGCAAAAACTGCTCAGCTGACTTTTTTCCTCCCAGCTCCTTTGATTTATAAATCAATGTCTGTTGGAGAGGTGGTGTCAGCAAGACCACCCTTGGCTTGAATTTCTGCTAAAGTTTAAGCCATGTATGGCACACTCACTGACATAGTAGGTTGCAAACATTGTTAGCCATGTTGATTTATTCCATGATTTACAGCCCCTGCACTATCAGGTTGACATTTGCTAGCCATGCACAGCTTGAATTCAAGCTGCGGGTGGCCCTATCAGTGCCACCTGGCTCAACAAAAGTTGTCTGAAAAAAATTGACTGAACTGGGTGGAAAATTCTCGGCTGTACGATGACAATCAGATCTAATCACTGTTCGTGTATTCAGGCAGCTGCTGGTGCTGTCTGTCTGAATGCAACAGCCAGCAGGGGAGATTCTCCATCCATGCTGTGTATAGAGGATGGAGAATCCAAGTGGGTTTTTTTTGTTTCAATCTGTTAAATGTGTAAGGATAGCTTCTGGCAACAAGGTATGTAACATACAAGTAAGGACAAGGGTCTACTATTGTGGACAACAGAAATATGAAACAAGCCTATGCATTGTATTGTGAAGAATGCGTACACTGTGTATGAGCTGTCATTTGCAAAACTGGCAACAGCCTGCTGAAATGTTTCTGTACACTTCATGTTTGAAGTATTAAGTCTGATGCCCATCTGTTATGTTTTGAGCTCCTCATAATTTTTTTGTGGTCTGTACAATGTGCCTACTGAAAATGAAAACAAATCACTTAACATTTCTTAAAATTGCACTATTCTTAGAAATGCCAAATATTTAACATTTCTTGCATATATAGAAATTGCAGAATCTCCCTTACAGCTGCCTATTCACTCTATACAAGATGGTTCTCGTACGTGCTGTCCATCCTTTTGTTGTTTGTTTGAATGCAACCAAAACCATCCATATTACTCTTTTAGAGAATGGGTGTGGATTTTTAATACACTTTCATTTTTACATAGAGTGATTTCCTTCACTATGGCTACCAATAAACACTTAGATTCCCCCATCTTCTTGTAATCTACACTGCCAGCAATTGTAGACAGCCGCAGGAAACATGGCTGCCTGAATACTCAAACAGTGACTGCCTCTGATTGGATGCAATCCCTGTTGTCCAACAATTTTCCACCCGGCTCTTTTGAAAATTACTCCTGTCAAGCTGTGTGGTGCCGGCATGGCCAGCTTAATGGCATGTGATTGATAACACTATAAGCAGACCTTTTCTTCCAGATTAAAATGGTAAATGTTTTTAAGGGTTAGAGACTGATGTGAATATACAATATATATGTAAAGCGCTGCATAAATTGATGGCGCTATATCAGTACCTGTAATAAATAAATACTAAATAATAAATCTGTGTGACAAATACTTTATAACAGTATTTTTAAAAAAAGTCCTTAAATCCCACTAACAGTCCATATCTACCCATAAATCTTAATTGCACTGCTCACACACTAATGACTCAGCTTGTACAACACATGGAGGTAGAGCATGCTTTACAGCTGACTGTATATGGGTATCATACCTTTATTGTTCAATACTGTGGGTTTCTCCAAGGATATACAACCTTTTCTGCTTTGTTGATGAAGGTTTGTAAGCAACAGTAAAACTCAATGTAAAAAGCCCCATACTGACATACTGTTTGTATCCTTTTTATGGGAATACCAGCTTCTGTTAACAGTCTCTGTCTACAGGCTACTACCATCACTAGGTTTTAAACAGCAACAGCAAAGGTTACATGTCAGTGGGACAAAAACCAGCAACAATTATAAACCCACCCATCTGCAAATGCACTCATAAATTAAAGAAAGTTATGATGATATTCTAGTTGTTTTCACTTGAAAACTGATCATCATCCTTTTCAGGAAATATTATATTCATACAAATTTTCTAGGTTGCATGGATTAATGTAAAGTTTATTTAATTTCTTTTCAGGAATTTAGTCTGTATTGTAAATACGGATAAATCATGCTACAAAAAAAGTTCAAGTCTAACTGAGGCTTATAAAAATATTAAAGTGAATGTGTGCCCAGATCATGCACAATAAAGTATTTACAAATCCTGAACGATCAGTGAGAGCAGGTTAAAGCAAGCCCTTATTCACCTCTGTATCTGCAAGCAATGTGGATAAATTAATATCTACCTTTTACAACACAGGCACTCTATTTTTCTATGAGAGATCTTAGCAGGCTTCCAGCCCTTTAAATGTTTCTAAGCTGTTAGAAACTGACTGAAACCTAACTTTATAGTGTTTGTTGTGATCTTTGAGAATAAATAACTTTACGTTAAAAGCAGCTACAGAGGTCAGGGGTGGATTGTCCTAAAATAAAATTCCAGGTATGTATGGACCACTTTTCAGCAGAATAGCTGCTCAGCATGGGACTCGTAAGCTAGCGGCAATCACTGTGATAATGGTGCCTACTGCAGTGGTTTCAAGTTTCCAGAGGGATCGGCCAGATATATTATGATTTTGTTAGTATATTGCACAAAGCAAGTAAGTATAATGCGTTTATTATTTTAAAGGATAAGTTCACCTTTGGGAACATGTTACAAGTTCCATTCTTTTGTTAGGATGTGTTAGGATGTGCATGTTCCCACTCCTGCAGCCTCTTGCTGATCCCCCCCTCATTGTGACAGAGGATCTTCCCCCCCACACCCATTCTCACAATATGAAAAGAACTTGGCCGTACGGGGCTCTGCCCACATGGCTGAGTCATTCATTCACAAAGATCTGTGAATGAATAAACTACAAGTACTGACAGCCTTTGCGGCTGACAGCTTGCAGTTCTCAATGAACTACCCAGTTGCTGGTGAGCACTCTAGGGAGTTCACTGAGTCTTCCTGTGTAACTGCCAGCCCTTATGAGGTACATGCAGACAGATACACTTGCAGCCTGCAGTAGCTTGAGTTTGCAGACCATGATCTGCTGATTGCGGGTGCAATGTTTTACAGGCTCCTAAAAATATAAATAATTTCACATTTTTCTACCTACTAGAAAATAAGCATTATATATATATATATATATATTTAGAAAACTGAAATTATCCTTTAAGGGAAAAAAAAGTATAGAACCACTTTAAGTCCTCATGCAGACTGGACGTTTTTACAGCGGCTGTTTTTGGCTTTTGACATTTTTTTCTACAGCCAGTAAACCCCCCAGCATGTTATCCCATGTGTCCATGCACACATAGACTGTAATCAACGTTTTTTGGCAGCAGCGTTTTTTGGCTGTAAAACGCTCTAACCCTGAAAAATGTGGCAAAACTCGGTGAACCAGCGTTTTTGGACTTTTTTTGACCAAAAAAAAAAAAGATTTTTTTTGGTCAGAGAAAACTCTAAAAAACGTGACAAAACGCTGCTAAATACTAATACAAAAACTCTAAAAAAAAACCTCACGTTTTTTAACATGACTTTACACAGCCAACGTTACCAGCGTTATTAAAACGCCCCGTGTGCATGGAGCCTAATGGAGAACAATGCATCCAAAGTACCGTTCCTCACACTCCTATAGGCAAGGCTAGGAGCTGAACTCTCGCCGTTCCTAAAGCGGCATTTCAGACGTTTTTTTGTTTATTAAAAGTCAGCAGCTACAAAAACAGTAGATGCTGACTTTTAATAAACACGTACTCATCTGTCCCAGAGTCCAGAGATGTTCTTATCCGCACCATCCATTCTCTCCTTCTCTCCCCAGCGCCAGCATCTCAACTGTGGGCACCAGGCTGTGACAGCTTTTGGCTACACAGCTGGTTACCCACTGAGCATGCCCAAGTCGCACTGTTTATCCTGATTGGTCCGGCAGTCTTCTGTGACCTGTGAAGGATCCCAGGAGACTGCGGGAGGAAGGAGGGGGGCCAAAATGAGCCGGAAGTGGGAATCTGTCAAAACCAGTTATCCCCCAAAAGGTGCTAAATATGGTAGTGGAGGGGGGAAGGAAAAAAAGCAGGGCTTCCACTTTTGGGTGGAACTCTGCTTTAATTGCCTACAGAGGGTCTGGGAATGGACACTGGTTACTCCAATACTCGCTATGTACCCATCCTTACCACTGAGCAATACTTTCACTCCACATTATAGCTCTTTATACGATGGAATGTTCAGATAAACTTTCCTGTAAGTACACTTTCCAAACAAATGGGTATATAAGTACAATTTTAAAGTGACACTAAACAATATCCTTATTCTTCGAAAATATTCAATACACATCCACTACGTAATGGCACTGCAATCTTTTTTTTCATGAAAATCCTCCTACTGTGTTTTTCTGCCTACTTGTAATGTTCTGTGTGAACTCCCAGACCTCTCCTTTAACCCCTCACTCCCATCTGTTTGGAAAATGTAGTGCACATCAGTTGCGATCATGTGTACTACTCTATGCACACTACAAATCCCATAGTTCATCTTAGGAGAGAGCAAGAGAGGGTGGCTACATTTCTTCATACAGCGAGACCATGGAGCCACCCTCTAACAGCAAGTTGCATCATAGCAGTCCAAAAAAGGAATCTGAGGATTTGAAGGAGGTTGAGAGCAATATAAGGTAGTTTTTTTTTTTACTTAAGAATACATACTTGACTAGGATTTCCTTTTTTTAAAAACAGAATTTAGTATCACTTTAAGTAACTGCTCACTTTTGGTCAGACAGATGCCAGTATCACATATCAGAACTTCTCCATGTGTCCCAGGATGATCTGCATGACGAGGCCCATAGCAGGGGGCCCACTCAGGGGAAAACATGACCTCTCCTACTACATGACGGAGATCTCCTTAGGTGAAGTCTTCCATTCTCCTCTTCAAAACAACTCCACCCCCCATATTTATACAGCCTAGCAGGGTCAGGGACAACCAGCCCAGACTAACCCCCTTTACAAACAGATGCACAGACAGTTGTAATGAAAGCATTTGCAAAAAGTGGAGGTTGCTCTGTTGTGTGTGGTGGCATAAATCAAACAGGAGCTGTTCACATGTGACCAGGGGCGGACTGACAACTCATGGGGCCCCTGGGCAATAAGGGATCATGGGGCCCCTGTGTCCTTGCCCAAACTCAAAGCCTATGAAAAAGGTACCAGGGGCATCTCATGGGGCCCCCTACTGACCCCGGGCCCTTGGGCAGCGCCTGAGTTTCCAAATGGTCAGTCCGCCCCTGCATGTGACTTTCTTTCCCATTCTTTGTTTTGTATGACGTTCTCGGATTTATAGCTATTGTAGGCTCACACCGAAAGTGTGATGCGGATCACGTTTGCATGGTCACAGCAGCCCATTCATATGAATGGGCTGCTGTGCCTGTGGGAAACATGTCAACACCTTCAAACTGTATTCTTCAGGTTTTCTTAGACCAGTCCCACTATGATGAGAAGTGCGGTCTCAGTTTAACATAGTGATGACTGAGGAATGTTTTCCTATTATCATACCATAACAATCGCCTTGTAAATACAAATTCTTAAGTAATGTAACATCAGGAAAATATTGCTGTACACTGTGACAATGTCATACCTGACGTGTAATATACATAGGATATAAACATCACTGTTAGAATGTAAACATATTTTCACAGGATCTGACCAGTTTACAAAAACAAAATTAGAGGTGTTCATCAAAGGCTATTGATTTACATGAATAACCACATTCTTAGAAAGTGTTATTTATATCCTACTACATTTTGTTTATAAATTATGTATATAGTTTGACATTTGGTCTCACTCCTAATACTTGCCTAAAATATTTCCTCCAGATTACCAATGATGGCTATATGTAACATTTAACACAACTTTAGCCCTGATTCACATCTGTGGGGGCCACGATTTGTATGGGCACAAGAGCCCATTCATTTGAATGGACTCTTGTCCCCCGGGACACGCAGGGAAGAAGTCCCTGCACTGCTTTGGAAATCGCAGTCCGCACGGGAACCGAGGTTTCCAGTATGGTTCCAATTTCCAGTGCAGGTCATGTGCCATTAGCATTAATGGCACCTGCCTCCAGGTCCCGCATTCCTCTGTGTGGGTGGTGCGGCTGCAGGTATTTGTGCAAGTCCCGCAGCAGCACCACCCACACAGATGTGAACATGGGCTTACAGTATATGGCCAAACATCGGCCATTTTCCAACTAATGTTTTTGTAATTTTTTTTTTTAGCTTATGAAATTTTGAAGAAGAACACATTAGCAAATGACACAGCATAAGGCAGTTCAATATTGTTCCAAGGATTGTGACAATAAAACCATGCAAGCCATCTTAGTATCCTGTCATTTACCCAAACTGTTGTCAAGTCATTCCACAGGAAAATGGGAAACAAGATTCTGGGTTGATTTTTTTATTTTTCTCTCAGGTGAAAGAGGGTTTAATAGGGGAGGTATAAGGCAGGGTGTAAAGACGAGAGGGAACAGGTAGGGAAGGGTATTTAAAGGACAGCATGGTAGGCGAGGGGATGGTAGAAAGTGAAACTATGAGGAAAGGAATAGTGTGTGGGTAGATAAATAGGGGAAAAGAAAGAGGGAGAGAGAAGAAGTGATGGGGAGGGAAGGAGGAGACGGGGATCCCTCACGTGGAAGTTGGTGTGCGGAGTAGTGAATCTGGTGTCTCTTGAAAGGAGGGCCTTGCCCTTGTCAGTGAACAAAGTCATGGTCTAGTAAAACCATACTGTACAATATGTGTTGTGTCTGTTTTGGAAGAAGAGAATAAGGCCCTCCATTTCTCTGATATCTTCCACTCTACATAGCCACAGGGGAATTGGGAGAGGAAAGGAGTCTCTCCATTTGTGGGTGATACAGGATTTGGCAGTGTTCAAGATCTTACTATGTCCTATTTGTTTCTGTTTAAATAAGTGGGAAAATCTTTCTGCATTATGACAGCATTTTGTAATTGTGCCACAGTTTGATTTCCTAATGTTTTAGCTACATGTTCAGCCCAAACAATGAACACATACATCTTTAAAATCACTGCACTACCTGCTTGGAGTTTGCCTGTTCTCCCTTGTGCGGGTTTCCTCCGGGTACTCAAGTTTCCTCCCACACTTCAAAGACATGCTGATAGGTTAATAGGCTCCTGTCTAAATTGGCCCTAGTATGTGTATGTATGAATGTGACTTAGGGATCTTAGATCGTAAGCTCCTTGGAGGGTTAGGGACTGATTACAATATATATGTAAAGTGCTGCATAAATTGACAGTGCTATATAAATACCTGTAATAATAAAATCCAGCTGTCTCTTTTAGAAATGAGGTCCTTTACTTATCAGGCCTGGAGCCCCAATGCACACTACCAAACACTAGCCAAACATAATTTGATTTTCTTGTTGGATGCAACTCAGCTGCAAGTGTCATCTTTATTAACTAGCAAAGAAATGATGAATGAAAAATCTAATAAAGTATTGTTGGTGATAATCCAGCAAAAGGAAATGTTTTCTACACAATGTAATGTCTTGTATTTTCAGACAAAAACTAACGATTAAATGAAAATTTTATGATCTGGCATCGTACGAGTCAAATTTTCGTGCTTGTCCCTTCAAATAATTTTGGATGAAAACTGTGTACTAATGATCAGATTATCATACGATCGCTTTGAAAGTGGTATTTTTCTTATGATTATACATTATCATTTATGTTTTAAAATGCCCTCTATTCACTGGTGATGCTCAAATCAGTCAAAATGTAATTTAGTAGGGTTAGGGCCCTTTCACATGGACATTCCAATCGGGTCCGCCTAAAAAACGGGCAGTAAACCTCCATTCTCCTCTAAGGAGCGGCGGGTGTAAACGGACATGTGTCCGTTTACACCCAACATGCAATCTGATCTGACCTGCAAAAAAGAGACGGATGGGGATCCAATTCCCTTTCTGTCCGTTGGATTGGGTCGCATGGAAAACGGACATCTGACCGCCCACTAAAGACAGTGAGCTGACACAGACCTGTCATCTGCTTACTCGGCAGAGATCAGCGGAGAGATCCCCCGCTGATCAAGCGGATCCGCTAAATGGGTCTGCGCTGTGTGAAAGGACCCTTAATTTACTAAAGACATGCTGGTAGGTTAATTGGCTCCTGTCTAAATTGGCCCTAGTACAGGGGTGGGCAACTGTGGCCCTCCAGCTGTTGGTGAACTACAAGTTCCATCATGCCTCTGCCTTTGGGAGTCATGCTTGTAACTGTCAGTTTTGCAATGCCCCATGGGACTTGTGGTTCTACCACAGCTGGAGGGCCAAAGTTGCCCACCTCTGCCCTAATAAATTTATATGTTGGAGCTATATGAAGCCCTGTAAAAAAAAAAATTAAATATAGCTCAGGACTGAAAAAGTACAGAATGTTCACTTAGCATAGTGATTAAAGCAGTATTAAACCCAAAAACAAAAACCAAAATCAGCTTACCAATCATTGGCTGTGGATGCATTCGTTTTTTTTAAGGCTTTTATCCCCTCTGTTTTCACCTGGTGATCTGGCCAGTAACACACCTCCTTTATTAGGCAGGACATACATTTTTGCCATTTTCTTTTGTGCAAGCACGGGTTACATTGAAGAAAATTGCTGGATTCCCCCATCAACAGGGTCAGTGTTCATAGGGCAATCCCTCCTGTGGAGCTATTGTGGTTTTTTTGGGGGGGTGGGGGTGGCGCGCAGAATGAACCTTCCCTGCCTGGAGTAAACAATGATTATTGCTAGCAGCTATAGCCACTGAAAATAATCACTTCCTAAAAATCTGACATGCTGGTTGTACCCAAGTTGATTGATGGATCAACATGGGTACAATCTGCCTTCCCAGGGCCGCATTAATAGCATCATGGGCCCCTGGGCAAAGTAATGCACTGGGGCCCCTACCAGCCTGCCCCAATTTACACATCTAATCCCAAGAATTAATCTATATATAGTGGACAGAATGAGATTGAATGATTAGTACTTTCAATAAAATTGATTTTAAACAATAAGAAAACATACAATGACTAATCAATACATAAGGCAAAGTATGGGGGTGGGTAGGGGGTGTGAGAACGGCACAGTATGGGGGAAATCAGGAGGGCACAATACTGAGATCAGGAGGGCACAGTACAGGTCCCGAAGAGAGCAGCCCAGGCCATCCCGGGACAGCTTAGTAAAAAGAATGACTGTCCCAGAAAATCCTGGAAAGCTGTCAAGTATGAAGTAATGCAAGATTATCATGCAGCCCCTATGCACCTAGGGCCCCAGGCAGTGCCCAGGGGTGTCCATGCATTAAGACAGCCCTCAGCCTTCCAATACATGGATCAAATCTCAGCTAGTCCCTGCTGAACTGGCAGACATTCGATCTATCTATGGCCAGCTTTGGAGTTGGATAAAGACGCAAAGGGGGCACATTTGGACAGCAACATTTGTCAGTCTGGGGGAAGGGAAATGTTATATGTATTAACAGATTTAAATACACTAACAAACTGAAGCCAAACTCCAGCTCACACCTTATAATCAGTTACAGCAAAGAGTTTTTCCTTTTGAGATATTTTATATGAATAAATAAAAACTGATCATTGTAAGCACCCATGTCAGTGTAAAATAGTTTGTTCAATCCCTGTAAACTGATACATCATCAAGATAGCTTGTTCTTTTGAAAAACAACAGACTCTCTGTCTGGATCACCAGGTGAAAATAAAAGAAAGCAAGCCTAAAAAAAGAAAATGAATGCAGCCATCACATCTAAAAATTGGTACGCTGCAATAAATGTTTGCTTTTTGGGTTTAAAACTGCTTTAATGTGAAAATTAGTTCACTTTGAATAATGAACTGCCTCATCTGGAGTTGGGCTTTAAATGGAACAAAACAGCCAGTGGTCTTCAGGAGCAATAAAGTATACTTGCTCTTCAGAGGGAAAACAAAGCACACAGTTAACACCAAAGTGTGTACTGGGGTTACATTGGCCACGTACTCAACTGTACTGGAATCTTAACTTCCCTAGTGGTCTGATTATGTCAATATTTCTGTGCTCAAAGCGGTGCATTTTTTTGCAT